GGGTTGCAGAGTCAATGGGGAATGTCTCCAATAAGCGTCAACTTGAGAGGATGATCCAATGAAAGGATGACCCAATGAAAGACTTCCTTTAGTCTCATGTCATGTGAACAGCAAAGAATGAGATTTGCGAAGTATTTAATAAGTTATGAATTTAGCGGTGACGCAGTCAATTTCGACTTAACAAATCTGCCACGATGAGAACTCTAAGTTTTTTTTTTTCTTCTTCTTCTTCTTCTTCTTCTTCTTCTTCTTCTTCTTCTAGTGAGTGGGCTAAGTATAATTTGGTTTTTTCAACGTTGACGCCTTGAAGAAAGTCAATTTGAATGAATTATTACAACAGTTAAACATACGTACCTCAATACCATGATATGTGTAGCTTTTTCTGTTCGACAGGTTGGAGAGTGTTGCGCTTTCATCTGTGGCGCTGTTTAGTTCACAAATGTAATTTCCTTCGTCGTAAGGTCCCACATTTACTGACACGCAGTTTGGCTCCAAATAGCATTCCACTCGGCAGCTCCCCTCATCAGTAACTTTCCCTGTTCTTATCACGTGGCCATTGAGTGCTTTGTTTGATGCCGGTTCCTTAAATATTATTATGCGGTCGTATTCATCTGTGGGCACTTCAAAACAAAGACACACTCATTTACCTTCAACTGGTAAATTCATTACTCTGGCCACAATCTCGATTCTGCTATCAGATCTTTCTACTGTGCTGAAGAAACTAGATCGCTCATGCTAGAGAGGCAAATATTGTAAACAACGATTCTCCTCTTAACATACAAGTAAATACATGCTATGCATGAATGCAGACGAAACCAAAACAGTTTATCCACTATTTATTGTCTGCTATGGGCAAACAAATATCTTCCAGTTGCACAGACCCCTACCTATTTCCTATATACATATTTTCTCAATGTTTCAATGTTGACCAAATGACGATAAAAATTGTTTTGAGGAATGTCATGGTAATTGAAGGCATGTCAACGGGAACGTCTTAACTTTCAACTGGGATATTAACCTTGCTTCACTAGATGGGTTGCAAATGCTCCTGCTAACGGATATTTTGGCTTGTTTTTGGTAAAAAAAAAAAAAAATCTCAATTTCGATTAGGCTGGTGACAGGTTTGAATTATAGATTTAGTTGCTATCGAGACTTATAGCTTCCTTCGTTGTAAATCAGTTTACTTGTTGCTTTCTAGTGATAAAAATGAATCTTGTCGACAACATTTCGTTAATTGATATACTTTTTGACCGAATGGTCCGGAAAGATCATTCAGATGATTTCTGAAATTATTTAAGGATTCTTAATTATTTAACCCTGTTTGTTACCAGCTTCAATATTCAGCTGCTGTTGTCACATTTCAAAATCAAACGAGCCACTAGGATGTAAACAACTTCAATAACATTCAATAACAGCTGTCAGCCCAAAGGAAATTATCACGAAAAACAATTGAAAATCTTCACGGCTCAGGCGATCAGTTATCCATTTTGTACATCTCTATAATTTCTTTTTCCTGCTAGTTCTGCTGTTTATTCACCAAAGAAAACTGTGCGGTCTTAACAGTTATGTACTGAATTGTATTTATTTCATTATTTTAAGCAAACACTTACCTGAGTACCTCATGCGTAAGGTTCACCACAGTTTAGACCATTTTACAAATGATAGGCAGGAATATTTGGTAATAAATATTTTAAAATTGAACAGTAAAAACCAGACTGAAAGTTGTAAGCTTGCTCAATTTAGTTCATTTCGGGAAAGTTCTTAACATCATTAGTCGCTTTCAATAATTGTTACAAACCTTCATGCCATCTTCAAATGCAGAAATCGTTCGGTCTTTATGTTTTGAACTGAGTTCATTTCATCATTTTAGGCAAACATTTATCTGAGTTCTCAAATAAGGTTCACCATGCTCTAGACTACTTTGCAAATGTATATTTTTTTAAAAGTTATTTTTCTGTTTGAATTAGTCAGACAGCTTAAACCTTAGGGGAAAAGCAACATAGCCAGGAAGTTGATTAAAGATCAACAGTGAAAAAGAACTTGAGAGTAGTAAGCTTTCTCAGTTTGATTCATTTCGGAAAACTTCTTAGTTCTCTATTGTTGACATCTTAAGTACAGTCGCTTTCAATAATTGTTGCTAACCTTCATGTCGTATTTAAATGTTCTCCCCTTGTTAACACACATTGTTTACTTTTCATGCCTATTTAATCTGAATAGCATGTTAAGAGCGTTTCTTAACTTATACTTGAAGCACCACCCTTTTCAACATTTGAAATTTAATATTTTAGCTCTTCCATAGCAGAGAATGGGAAGTTTGCTTTTTTGCTTTTATTTTTTCGAGGGCAAGGAAACCTAAACCTAATATTAAATATTTCGCTCATTTGAGTGTTATTCTTGAGAGATTTGTTTACTTTATTATTTTTCGTTGGCAAGTCTCTAACAAGAGTTTTCAAAATAATTAAAAATAAAACTTACCAGCGTACACCATTGAACCTAACTCCAAAAAAATCCACATGAGAAATATTACGACTTTTATTGAGGCCATACTTCTTATGTCGCTTCGCTCAATGTCTTTGATCTTGATATTGTTAAATAATTAAATAGGTAAATTCTAAATTCTATGGTAATTTTAATTTGTCAAAATCATCCAACCCATTTTCTTCACTGTTTAATTAGTTTCATAACGCTAAAGGCAGGAATAATTAGGTCTGGTTTACCCGCACGTACATAGTCGCTTTCTTTGGTTCTATCAGGAATTTTTCATGTCAATTTAGCCATGTAGGCGTAATGTGTTAATTTTGGTCTTAATGGTGGCCACCTGTAATCGTTCGACCGCACGCGCGCTGATAACGAAATCATTCGCACTTTGCGCGGAATTTAAAGAAATGTAAGGGTTTCACGACATTACAAGAAGTTTACATGATTAAACAAAACAAAACAAAACGAAACGAAACTGTACAATATTCTCGTGTTTCTTTCGGTGATATTCTGTTATATTTAGCAGGCTGGTTACAGTTCTTTTACTTTTTTGATCTTGCCGTTTTCAGTAAGATCTCTTAGAAACGCTTTTTAGCATAGGTAAAAGATCTTACTTTTCAAAAACGAAGGAACTATAAATTACTATTGAGGTAAAACTTGAAAATGAAATGCCTAACAAATATAAAGTTCTCGCTATATCATCACGTTGCATAAGCAATCATATGCCATACCAAATGGTTTGATAAATTTGGGGGAAAAGAACCCACTTTTGGAATTCACCGCTTCAAAACGTTGAAACTTCAACATTGGTAAGTTTAGTTCAACCAAACTATGGTTGAACTAAACTGTTATACTCATCCATTACAACATTAAAAGCAACAAGATGCCGTATTCTCTTAATTGCACCCAAAGTAGAGGCAACCTTTTTGCAAATACGACTCTACATATGACAATGCCAGTTTAAGTTTTGATCAATCATGATGAACCCCCAGCGATAACGTGGATGGAACCTGCATCATTGGATGGTCAATTATCGTGAAAGATGGAATTTCAGAAATACTTGATAGCCTCTGCCTCTACGCAATTAACATAAATTTGGTTTTTGCTTAATATATACTTTACTTTTCAGTCTGCCTTTTTATTGTCATTAAAACGTGCGTAGTCGAGCTGGCCTGTTAACCAGCCAGTCAGTAATTCTCAATGCATGTCCCTCATTCTTAACTGCCGCGGGAGAAATTTGATACATACCCCTTAAAACCACCATCCAGTAGTTTGTCTTGTTAACAACCTATACAAGGATTTGGTTAAACTTTCCTAAAGTGGTTTGCTAATCTACATCAATATAAGTGTTTTAAGTCGGTAAGGAGCCGGCTGTAAGAAAAAATAAAATAAAATAACTTATTAAATGCACTGAATAAATGTGAAAGACTGGCGTTAAAGGAATCTAGGGAACTAGTTGTAACAATCTCCCATGGATTTTTCAAACTCACGACGGTCACGATGGTGTACCTATAAAATACCTAAAACTAATGACTAGAGAAAAGGGCTGTTCAGTGTAGTGTTACGATTTTTTAATAATTTACCTGGTTTGTTAATACGTACTTAAGCCTCGTTTTCACTAGCGACGCAAGCACTAAGGCAAGCACAAGCGCGAGCACAAGCGCAAGCAATAGGGATGACCCAAGTGAAAACAAAATTCCACGCAAACAAGCATAAGCAAAATCATCCGAATCTTCATTCATTTTGGAAAACTATTTAGGCGCGCGGATCTGGATCCAATGTTTTCATTGGCCAAACTTAACCACATGTGGTAAATATCCTTGTGCTTGTGCTATGCCTGAGCGGTATTTCCTTTTCACTTGTTGCAGCGCAAACGCAAGCATAAGCGCAAGCAAAAGAAGAAGGAAAAAAAAAGATCCTTGTGCTTGTGCTTGTGCTTGTGCTTGTGCTTGTGCTTGTGCTTGTGCTTGTGCTTGTGCTTGTGCTTGTGCTTGTGCTTGTGCTTGTGCTT